CCCCCCCCCTGCCGAAGGGCGGCCGGGGCCGTTTGAGGCTCTGGAAGGGGTCCCTGGCGCCGAAGGGCTCCCGCGGGCGGAACTCGGCGCGGGGGGCGCGGAGCAGGACGGAGCCGCGGCCCCCGGGGTCCCGGTGCGCGGGGGGGCCCAGCCCGCGCCCCGCCCCCAGCTGCTCACGGGGCAGGGGGCTCGGCCCCGCCGGGTCGCGCGAGCGGGGCAGGGGGTCCCGCGGCTGCGCCCCCCCGAAGTGCTCCTTCAGCGTCCCTGGCAGCGTACCGTGCTCCTTGGGGAAGGCGCCGGCGCCGTGCTCCAGGGGGGGCGGCGCGGGGAACGGGACCCCGCCGTGCTCCCCGGCCGCCGGCGGCGGCTGCGTGGGGAAGGGCACCCCGGAGTGCTCCCCGGGCACGGGGGGCGGCGGGGGCGTGGGGAACGGGACCCCCGCGTGCTCCACCGAGGGGGGCGGGGGGACGCCGTGGGGCAGCGGCAGCGGGGCGGGGGTCTCCTTGGAGAAGGGGCTGGCGTGATCCACCGACGGCAGGCGCGGGGGCACCGCGTGATCCCGCGGGAAGAGGCCGCCGTGGTCCTTGGAGGGGGCGGGCGGGGGCACGGCGGGCGGCCCCACGGGGTCCCGCGGGAAGGGGGTCCCGTGCTCCAGGGGCGGCGGCGCGAGGGGCGGCGGCGGCAGGTGGTGCTCGAAGGCGGGGCTGAAGTTGTTCGTTCGGAAGTTGTTGACGCTCTCCGGGAAGGGCGGCACGTGCTCCTTGTAGGGCGCCGGGAAGCCGCCCATGCCGGGCAGCTCCGAGGAGCCCGAGGGGCCGTTGTCGAAGGCGCTCCCGCCGCTGCTCAGCTCGAACCAGCCCGCCCGGCTCCCCTCGCGCCCGTGGCCCCGGCTGCCCTTGCCCAGCACCCGGATGGACTCCACGGTCTGGATGGGCTCCCCCGACATGCCCCGGCTCGAGGCATTGTGGTAGCCCAGCGTCTCGATGGGGGCCCCCTTCTCCTCGGTGCTGTCGGGCAGGTCCAGGCAGGAGGAGGACACGCGGGTCTCGATGCGATAGTGCTCCTCGGGAGGCTGCGGGTCCTTGGCGGCCCCGGACAAGCTCCCGCCCTCGCCGGAGCTGCTTTTGGGAATCTGCCCAAAGTGCTTCTCCTCGGAGGGCTTCCGGGAGGCGTTTTTGAGCATGTTCTTGAACTCGATGGTGGAGGTGGCGGAGATGGAAGAGCCCATGGGTTTGTCCCCGCCCGCTGCGGGCGCTCGGCCGGCAGGGCTGGGGAGGGTGTTCTGGGAGGAGAAGAGCGAGCGGTGGGGAAGCGCGTGGGGCGAGTCCGGGTATTGCTTCTGCGGGAGCCCGGGCTTGGGCAGGGTGTTGTGGTTGGAGTCCGGCGTGAAGAACACGTCGTTCTTGCTGGGCGACGGGGACCCGTCCGAGGCCGAGTCCTTCCCCCGGCGGCCGTAGCTCCCGAACATCCCCGGGGACGAGGCCAGCGGGTCGCAGCCCTCGCTCTGATCCAGGATAGACCTCATGGAGGGGGGGAAGGACGGCTTCACGCCGAACTCCTGCGACCTCTGGCCGTAGCTGGACAGCACCGGCTGGTACTCCGCGGACTCCGGGAGTTTGCTCGATTTTAGGATGGACTTGACGGGCTTCTTCTCCAGGTTCAGCATGGCCGAGGGCGGCGGCCCAGAGTAGTCGAAGTCACGGTAATCCTCGTCTTCTTGGAAAGATGTGTCTGGGTAAAACTTCTCCTGGGAGGAGTCCATCAAAGAGGAGGGAATCTCCCTGCTGTCCGCAGGCGGCTTGTACAGCCCGGCCGGAGACTCTCTGCCGAGGCCGAAGGGCCGGTAGCCGTGCACGGAACTGGGAAGTTCTTGGGAATATCCATCATCCCGGCCCTGCAGAGGTGACCTCGTGCTGCTGGGAGTAGAAGAACCAGGGCTCATGATTTTTGACAGCAGGGACATCGTGTCCACGTTGCTCGATGTCGGCTTATCCATCATCTCGTCCTGGGTGGGTGTCCCGCTCCGCTCGTCCCGCACCGGCGTCCCGTCCACATTGTCCATGGAAGTGCTGGTGGGACCACGCTGGAAGTCAGAGGTGTGACTCTCCGTTGCCATGCTGGACCCCAAGCTGCTGAGGATGGGAATATTCAAGTTCAGGCCACTGAAGCCAGGGTTTCCCTTCAGGAAATTGTGTATCTTCATCTCCAGGCTGGGAGAAGGGGGTTCTGATTCCAGCTTGGCTTTTGAAATTTCGGAGGACTGACCCAGTGGGGTTTCTGTTGGCAAAAGGGAAGAAGGACTGGTAGGGTGGGAACTGGAAAATCCCAGGGAATTGGTTGGTGGTTTAAAACTGGAGCTTGACAGCGCCGGGGTGTGTCCGACGGGAGCCTTATTGACCGAAGTGGAGGAAATTTCTGCGGTGGATGAGTTTGGAGAATAACCAAAACTTTTGGATATAAAGGACTGCGGATTGGAAGGAACATTCCTCCCCTTCATGCTGGGCACAGTTGTGTTGGCTGGTGATGCTGAAGTGCTCTGGGAGGCGGGTTCACCTGACTGGACGGTGTTTCCAGCCACACTCTGCAGCAAGGATGACAAACCTGGAAGACAGAACTGCATCAGGAACTCTGGAGAGACAAATCTCCCCGAGCCGCTTCCAAGGGAAAGGCTTCCCTGTTCCCACTGTGGATGGCGTTCCCTAACACCCTCCCCATGCTCCAGCTAGGAAAAGGACTGGATTGTGCTGTGTTGACATTAGCACCCAGCAAGGTGCAACCTCCTGCCAGAGGCTCAGATTGATCTACAAATATAAATTACTCCATCGGGTCAGTTGGGCAAGAACTTGTCCTGGTCTGCAGCCAGGTGTGTGAAACCCTGCCCTGCTGGCCAGGTGACCTGTGCAAGGTGCCAGCTCAGGAGCAGAACCTCTGGGAGCTTTGTGCACACGGAAAACACAGAGACCTCTTGGTCTCCTGTCCCGTTCTGGGGCCTCACATGGAGTGTTCTAGGTACGTGCACTTCGGTCACGGCACAAGCAGGAGGAAGCACAGAGAAGTGACAGAACTCACTGGTCCATGACACGTGTGCTACCCGAGAAAGACCATCTGCACGTGCCACAGGTGTAAAACATTCCAAGGAAGTTTTTCTCCCTCTGTTTTCACTTCAGGACAGGCAGAGCAGCACGTTTCAGCCCGGTACCTTTGAACCCACCAGCCCTTGCCCAACACCCACACCAGTACCTTGCAGTGCCGGCGCCGTCTGGGTCTGGGTTTTGGAGAGAGCCGACAAAATGCTTTCCGGAGTTATCTCCACTTTGGAGAGAATGTTTGCTAACGGATTCGAAGGAGCAGATGGAGTCCCCAGGACAGGAGTCTTCAGGCCACTGGTGAGAGCTGTGGGGCTGGTCGGGGTCCCTGGAGAGGGTCTGGAGGCAGGGCTCACACCTGGGACAGGAGCACACACCACTCACCTGAGCTGCCCCGCTAACCCAAGTGCTTCTGACTCAGGTTTTCCACACACACCTCTGAGCTCAGGAAGCCGACAGCGTGTGCCAGAGACCGAGCCAGAGCTCAGACAGCAGGAACTCACTCGTGTTTATTTTGAGACAATTAAAGCTCTAAACAATCACCCCACTGTGCCAGCGCCGGTGCCCAAGGCCTGGCTCAGGACTCACCTGTGCTCTTCATCACTGACGTCAAACTGCTCAGGATGGAGCTGATCTTGGCCAGGTCCACGTTGGCCAGGTTGGGCAGGGCCAGCGCCGGTGCCGGCAGGATGGGCGCTGCGCTCGCCGCCTTCGGAGCCGGAGGGGTCGGAGTTGTCACCGTCCCCGAGGCCGTGGCGGCCGCGGTGGCCACTGGGACCGCTTTGGGGACGCTCTCGGTCTTGGCAGGTGCTGGGGTTGGAGCAGCCTGTTTGTCCTTCCTCTCCTCCACTGCAGCACAGAGGGGGGGAACAAGAGCAGAACTGTCACTCCTGGAATGACTCAGGGCACATCAGCTCCGATTCCCACTGATGTCAAAACACCTTGGATGGGTGGTTTGGGAGACGGGAACAATCACAGCGGGACTGGGACTTCCCTGCTTGTGTCAAACCCAACAGCCCCATCCCACAGCCCAGCACGGGGTCTGTGCCTCCTCCACATCCCAAACGAGGCTGGGAAGGGCTGGTTTGTCCCAGAATTCCCACAAGACAATCCCTGCTGCTCCCGCAGGACGTACCAATGATTTTGGACGTGTCGTCCTCCACGTCAGAGAGCTCCATGTCCTCCACATCCCGATTATCTGTCGCAGGCTCTGGAGTGACCATCTTGCGGCCTCCAGCTGCCGGGGACCGGGTGTTGTTCTCCTCCCCCATCCCCTGGAAAGGGGACTCGGAGCCCGTCGGAGACGGGGCGTCCATGCTGGGAGAAGGGACAGGAGACTCCTCGGGATCGGGAAGTGTTGCTTTCAGCTGGTCCAGCTTTTTCTTCAGATTGCTCACTCGATTAGCAAATGTTTTATAGGCCTAAAGAAGGAAGGACATCGGACTGGGGATCATTCATGCCTCAATCACTTCCCTAAGGAAGCAGCACACACCTCAAGAAAATAACTTCCAATTCCCTGGACCCCACAGCGGTGAGAACTTGGCTTGTCCGTGTGACAGAGAAACAACCCCAAAAAAAGAAGATAAAACCTTTTTCCAGTGACTTGGAAGAATTTTCATAAACCCCCAGGTTTCTAACAAACATGTTCTGCCTGTCTAGGGGGGGGGTTCCAGGAGGGGTGTGGGGGGGGAATTTAGTTATTTTTCCAACTCTTTACTGAATTCTTCATTTCTTTGCTCATCTAGTCCCCATGTGTATTGCAGAGATACAGAGATACAAGCTTCCAGAGTTCAGGATTTGTCACACTAACTTTTGCCCTGCTTATGAATGCAGGGGGGCTCCAAAATTCCAGCAACACACACAAATCGAGCATCCAGCTACTGGTTTTTGGGGTGTCTCTTTGCCTTGCCCGACACTTCAACTCTGCTCTCTTCGGAAACCACCTGTGCAACAGTCCCACGAACTGTTTAACTTGGGAATAGAGAGATGAGGCATTTTCCAGCCTCTGAGGGGCTCAGTGAACACAGGAAGATGCCGTCCCACCTGCAGAGGATCAAGGAAGGGTTCACTTACATTCGCTACCACCTTGACTTCCTTGTACTGCGCCTCGTAGAAGATCCCGGCGTTCTCCAGCGCCTCGGTGAGCGAGGGGCCATTCTTCACCTGCTTGTCCAGGCCATTCACAAACTCCTCCAGCTTTGAACTCGCTTCCTCAAACTCCTTGGAGAACTTCTTCCCTCCTGTTTTATCTGCAGGGAGACGGACAACACGGGAATGAGCTGCCAGCTGCCAAACCAGAGCGTGACCCCAAGGGCAGCAGCTGAGACAGCAGATCCACACCCTCCCAGACCACCCCAGTGATCCACTGGGACCAAGGAGGAGGCCTTCTCTAGCACTGCATGTTGGTTTTCAGCTAGTCATTAGCTCTGTCTGAGCTCGGGATCTGCAGGTTTCCACAAAAACTCGAACTAACCAAGACTTTTGGCTCAAGATTGGTGGTTCTTAACCCCGCTCCGAAATTCTGGCATTTTTCCAGCCACGCTCTGATTTCTGGCCTAGGGCTCAACAGAAGTGAGGAGCTCCCAAGAACTCCCTCGGGGCTTTACCTTTCAAGCACTTGAGTGTCTCAGTGCTGCACACGTCCACCCTCATGGTGGAAAGCTGCTTCTCCTTCAGCTCTATCTGGTCTTCCGAGCGCTTGTACAACAGCAGCTCATCAATGAGGGACTGGGGCTGGAAAAAAAAAAAAAAATCAAACAGGAAAAGCATCCTCATCACATTCCAGGCAAGAGAAGCCCTGAACAGCACAGCCCTGCCTCCGCTCTGGCTCCAGGCCACTTCCAAGTGAGAGCTAACGCAGGAACCATGTGGATCTCCGGGTTTTTGACCGCAAATCTCACAGATCAGCAAAGCTGGGTTCAGGCAGGGGCTGCAGTTTCCCAAGTTTCCTGGCTGTCATGGTTAAGAGCAGGGACAGGCCTGTTTTATTTATTCCCTTTTTTCACTCCACAGGGGGCTGTGCATTTCATCAACAGGCCCTGCTCTGTCAGGGGATCAAATTTTGCTGAATTTCTTGCCGCCAACTCCTCAGCCACCTCAAACTCCCCTTCACGA